GCTGTGCTGTGATGTGTGTATGTTGTGCTGTGTGTGTGTGTGTATGTTGTGCTGTGTGTGTGTATGTATGCCATGCTGTGTGTGTGTGTGTGTGCGCTGTGGAGTGTGTGTGTGTAAGCTGTGGTATGTGTGTGTGTGCTATGCTGTGTATGTGCATATGCTGTGCTGTGATGTGTGTATGTTGTGCTGTGTGTGTGTGTGTATGTTGTGCTGTGTGTGTATGTATGCTGTGCTGTGTGTGTGTGTATGTATGTGTATATGTTGTGCTGTGTGTGTGTGTGTGTGTGTGCTGTGCTGTGTGTGTATGTGCTCTGTGTGTGTGTGCACGTGCGTGCTGTGGGTGTCTGTGTGTGTGTGCACTTGCTCCTGGCAGGGGCTCTACCAAGGGCTGGGTACAGCCCAGCCTGGACAGATTCCCCTCCAAATGGGGGGCCACCCAGCGCTGCTGCTGGATCAGATGCAGGAGCAGCCCTGTGGGCCACAGATCTGACCATCACCCTTCCCCATTGCAAATACGCCCCAGCTTCCCTGGGCACAATCCTAGAATATATTCCAAATAAAACTAAAATGGAAAACCCTGCAAATTTGAGAAGAGCAAGTGTTTGCTCTTTCTTGGCAAGTCTCATGACAGTCTGGTGGCATACTGTCTAAATTTAGTGTGGGTTAAACACTTTTGCCTCCCCCCAAATACCTCATGCATCTACACCTGCACCCTTGAGCTTTGATACTACAGAATATCAGATGAGATTATAACTCTAAAAACATAAAAATCTGTAAGGGGGGATGGGGAGAGGGTGGTCAATGGATACAAAGCTGTAGAGAGAGGAAGAACAAGATCTAGTGTTCTATAGCAATATAGGGAGTCTACAGTCAACAATTACTGTACAACTTCAAGTAGCTAATTGAGAGGATTTTGAACGTTTCCAACAAAGAGAGGTGACAAATATTTGAGGTGATGGATATGCTAATTACCCTGATATGATTATTACAATACTGTACAAATGTACCCAAATATCACATTGTACTCCATACATATATACGATTATCATGGGTCAATTAAGAAAAAAATAGATTAAAAAGAAAAAAGGAAAAAATAAAACGATAAAATCTCACAATAATAATCAAATTCACCAGTAAGAAATTCTCACTCAAATGCAAATGGCCGGAACAATAACATCCAAACGGAGTAAGCCGGGCTTCTGTGTCTTTTCCATTGGTCGGAGACA